AGGAGGAGGAGGAAGAGGAGGAGAAAAAGAGAAAGACAGAGACAGAAGGTATCTTTAACAAAGGCAAAGTGAACCCAGAGGGTGAGGGAGGAGGGGAAGGGAAGGGGAAGAAAAGGAATGAAGATGCGCTGTGTGTGTGCACCATCTCCCCACAGCGAGTTTGATCACTATGCATGCTACGCCAGTGCTAATTATGATATAAAAACTGAAAAAGTAGTAGGATATACTATTAGAGATGTACAAACTAAAAAAATCATGGATAACTCTATCTCACAGAAGTTTTCAGATAAAATACTCTCTGAATATAAAAGTTCCTGAAATTGAAAGTGGGAAATAAGCCTTGAAAATAACATTAGTCACTGTGATTCTTTTTTTTTTTTTTTTTACTGTATTTAGTACAGGCTATACAGGGTTTCACTGTACAGATCAGACTCATAGTGATCCTCCTGTTTTCAGCCTCCCAAGCACTAGGATGACAGGTATGCACCACCACAGCCAGTCTTAGTCACCACATCATGCTGATGATCAAACCCCGGTGCCCTACGCCTGCCTAAGAAAGCACTTTAGTCTGCTGAGCTATCTGGCCAGCCCAAGTCATTGTGAGTCTTAGGAACTGCATTCAAGATTTAACAAGATTATGAACATACGTCACTCCCTCAGAAGATGTACTCCATAAGCTGTAGTTATTCTTATTGATATCATCATCATTATTCTTGTTCTTTTGTCTTGAGACAAGTTCTTAGTGTGAGTGTGGCAACCTAGCCTTGAACTCCTAATAGCATTGCCAGTGCTGGGATGACAGGTACTGCTACTATCTCTCTGTTTGGCATCTTTAGACTTCATTGGAAAGTCTGCTTTGCTCCTAACTCAGAGATTGTCACTGTTTATGCTAGCTTTTAGATTTCTCTCTATCATGGGATGGAACATGCCAGTGGTTCAATCATACCCCTGTTCTCTTTTATTGCTTATACCACAAATGAAATTTTGGACTATATGAGGGACTTTCTCTCCAATACAGCTTGTAATTTTCTACTTTCATGTCTTATTTGTATTCTCCTGCCTACAAGCCTATCCACATCTTTGCTTAGTTCCCCTGTTTCTTTTATGGCTTAATACAAATGCCTTCTTTCTCACAAAGACTTTCCTAACCTAACTTTCCTAGTTTAAACTGTTCATCTCACTTTCATGGATCATGTCTCTTCTATTAGACAAGTCCAATAAGTCAACAAATTTCTATTAAGTACTTTCTGAAGGGTAGGTACAAAGGTGGATACAAAGAAAAGTCTGATAAGACCCTTGTCCTTCAGGAGATTATGATATTCTAAAAAAGCAGATTAGTAAACCAATGAGAATAAAAGTGATAAGGGATGGAGCTGTGTCATATGGGACAAGTAAGTCATTAAGGTGGTAAGAACTCCACAAGGTAAAATGACAGGAACCTTCTTACCACTGAAGGATCTAGACTAGGAAATAACATCATTATTTTAAGCAGTAGAATATCATTTTCACTTCCCTGAAAAAAATGAAATGGCAAGGTGAAAAGAAGGGACAGCCAGCCATCACTGCCTGGAGCAATATTCCTTTAGCGCATGTGTGTGCGCATGCACATGCACACACATACACAAACACACACAAAGACACATGCATCTGTACCACATCAGGCTGTGCATTCAGAGAACACAAACTCTCACTGAGGAGTCTACAAATCTTCCAGATCCTGGGTGCATAGCAATGTGACTGAATGGACTCATCCACATGTAAGAATATTCGTAACCCTACCAATACATTGTCAACTTACCAATTTTCCAGTGACGCTCTGACCACCTTCATTCAGCCAGAACCCAGGGACCATGGCTGAGAAATAAGGCCCCCATACACCTGGTACAAAAATTGGGTCCTTGCTGATCTGAAAAGAAAGATGTAAAGTACATAAAAATATTGACTCTCAGAGCTAGAGAAAGCCTTATCCTTCTCCTATCTAATGTTTCTATGGTCAAGAAATTCAGCTTTTTATTGACATCCTCCATGGTGGGGAAATCACTCTCTCAGGGAAGGTCATGGCTTCATCTCTGGAAACCTTTCTGATGAAACCATTTAGATGACAAGGTAGGAAATGTGATCATTATGGAGAGAAACTGGTAAAGCATTTCCTTGCTGGTAAATTCTCTGTGGCAGAGTTTGGAGAATTGGTCTCTAATCTCTATCTTTTCCATATTCACAATAAAATGTTCAGCTCTTCCCACTGAGAGGTGGGCCTCCTAAGCTCTTGAACTTGGGAAGCTTGTGGTCTGTTTTCTAAAGAAACGATCAAGTCCAGTGTTTTAGGAATGGTCCTGCCCAATGCTTCCTACATCTATTCCTTGTCTTGCCCCTCTACCATGGCCATAGGCTATGCCTTGAATGAGAAGTGTGATTAGCCCAGTGATCTAAGACGATGTACCAGATACAGGAGCAAACCAATACAAGACAAGCAAGTCCTCCCTGCTGGCCAGCAACTGATTGTCCCTAGGTAGCAGGATCACCTAGCCACCCACAAATGTATATCTACTATAATGTGTTGCTAAGACTTACTGTGTTTTACCTAACACTTTTGTGGTAATAGATAACCTACATTTCTTTCTTCTTAAAAGCATTTCCTAGGGGCCAGGGAGATAGCTGAGTAGAATAAGCACTTGCCTGGCAAGTACAGGGTCTTGAGTTCAATCTCTGGTGCCGGAAAAAAAAAATTCCTAGATTTCCTAGCCAGTTAGTAGCATACTCTTTGTGAATGTGAATACAAAAATGAATCAGACAGAATTTTCCTTTCAAGGGGGAAAAAAGGAAAGAAAAAGAAGCTCGGAAGCAGGGAAGAACTACACATAATGTATACACAGACTACAGTTTGATCACTGGATGCTAAACACAAAACACAGAATTTTAAGAGGGATCTGGGGTTCAGAAATGTGTTAAAGAAAAGTACCAAGATGGCCACAGCTGAGATAAGTACCTCCACGGCCAACAACCCATACCTAAGTAGCCAAATCTTAAGTCATCTTAAGTTTCCTGAAATGCTAGCTCCCACAATAAACAAGCACAAAATGTAAGCTTAATGTTTTTGTCAGAATGACTTAATGAAATTAAAATGTAAGCTTCATATCCTTGTCAGCATGACTCAGTGAAATTAAACCAGTAGCTACAGGCAATGAGTTTACACAGTTCTGCCCTCAGCACCTCCACCTCCTTGTAGAGCCAATCAGAAAATCAGGAACAAGGCCAGAGTGCTTTCTCCTTTATGCTTTATAAACTGTGGGATAACTCAACTGCTAAAGGCCAGTCTCTCAGCATTTGTGTTGAAGTCTTGCTGATCACAATGTGTACTTTTTGCATGATAATAAACTTCCCCATATTTTGTTTTGATTTTACATTTCACAAGGGTGGCTTTTAGAGAAAGGGACAAAGGCTTAGTTTTGGAAGTAAGCTAGAAGAATTGGACTAGGTATTCCTGGACAAAGCCTCATGGGAGAGGAGCTCTTGGCGCCTGAAATACTACAGTGTCTCTGTAGCAGATCACAGTGCCTTATTAAGGTGAAGTGAGTATGCGAGGAGATGCACCAGGAGAGCTAGTGGCGAGTCATGCATTGTTTCATTCACAGTGCTACCTGCTTCTCCACTCAGGAGCTATGGCTGCTGACACAGGATTTAAGGGTGTGGAAAAGTTTATCTGGAGGGTGGGGAGGTAACACAAGTCAGGCACACAAGGTCTACTCTACCAGGTCTTGAGGCTAAGCAGAGAGGCCATTTATTTACACATCCAATATTTATCCAGGTCTTAACTATAAATGCCTGTTACTATGCTAGGCTTTAGAAATAGAGAATTAAATATCTATGATTTTTGCTCTCATGAACTTTATGGTCTAGCATGGAGATAGATCTTTATTTCTTTTAATGCCAGTTTCTTCAATTCTGTAGTATTTCTACCTTCCACATAGGAAGGGAGTTTGGAAAACCAAGGAAACAATATGAAAAGTCAATTTTCAATTTTGTCAAATAAGGGCAATTTATTTAAAAGATATGGGCATTAAAGATATCAAACAAGAACAATTTCAGAGAAACAGACCTCCAAAAGAAAAGCAGGTCAGCATATTCTTCCTTTCCTTTACTGGTTCAATAGATGTTTCCTGAGGTCCTACCACGATCCAGGTGCCTGCCAGGCACTGAAGATACAGGGAAAAGAGCATGGCCTTGGGCTCCCAGAGCATACCAGCCCCAGGCGGAAAGAGAGCCAAGGTGGCCACTGGAGTTTGTCTGTTTTATGCCAGTTCCAGCACTGAAAGTCTTGTGTCCTGCAAGACTTCTTGAGCACCAATGAAACTGGAATGGCTGGGAACTGTCACACAAGCATTAATCAAACCATCTCACAGCCACGTAATTACAAACCAAAGTGAATGAAGGGAAACGAAGTATTATGACAGCACAGAAATGTGACACCTAACCTAGTCTAGGGGTCAGGAAAAGCTGCAAGGAGTGATACGTGAATTGAGATATAAAACATACATGAAATTTACTATGTTTTTGTGTGTCTGTGCATGCATACGTATGTGTATGACAGTCAACACCAACTAGTCCTCATTCTTATCAACCTGCATTTGCCAATGAAAATTTTGCAACATGCTAACAGTAGAAACTCCGGCTCTAAACTGGACTGCAGAGCTTTGGGGTGAATAGAGCAGTCCATATTTAAAACTGTGTTCATAACTTCGGATTTGGACAGATAGAGAGATGCCTACCATGGCCAAATCATCTTGTTCTGTGCAACCAACCCCTTACTTCAAGAATTCTCAGCCCCACCTGACAGTGTAGTCTTATAGAAATGGTCTAAATCCTGCACAGTCACACAAATAGTAAATGGCCGAGGGATTTGCATTGAGGCAGATGTTGTCCTCAGACCCATCCATAGCTTTCTATTCCCCATATAATCCTCAGGAAGGACTTAGATCTGTCCAACTCCCATCCAGGACACATGACGTGTGTTGTGTCATCCCAGCAAGCCTTCATTGCACCACTGTGGCTCTTACATGTCTCTGTCCACAGACAACGTGGAGCTGGTGCCTATTTGTGCTCATTCATTTGGCATGCCAATGCTTCCCATCAGACATTCCAAGTAAAGTAGGATGGAAGCAAAGAGAATGGCCAATGTTTCCCAAATGCTGTGCTTTTAAAGGAAACGAGTAACAGTTTGTTTTGAGGAAGAGGAAATTAGAGAATGCACACTTGTGTATTTATATACTTTTTAATCCTTCACAGTAAATCTAAATATTTGAAAATATTTTTGAGAAGGCTCCTCCCTGGCTGATGGCTATGTTGGCATGGAGGCTGTTCTATGATCCAAAATGAGAGAGCTGATTGCACAACGACGAGACAGTTTATTCTACGTCAAATACCAGATAAATGTTTTCTCTCCTGAAACTGAGATCTGCCCTATGGAAGGAAGACTCAAGTGACTGAGCAACTACAGCTCCAAGTAACCAGAGTTAGGATGGAGGCTTCATATTTTCCCTTGGTTTTGTTTTAGTCAGCCTCCTTAATTATAATATAAAAATAAAACATATCACATTTTCAGATGTTAAAACTTTAAAGGATTGTTTATTATGGGACATATCCCAGTCAAGAATCAAAACTTTCTCAGAAAGCTAGAACAGTAAGCAAAACTGAATAAAAATCAGTTAATTTTTTAAATAAAAATCAATTTTATTTCCATGCACTGGCAAAATATCATTAGAAAATAAAATTAGGAGCAATTGCACTTACAAACAAAACAGTATATAAGTATTCATTTAAGAAAAGAAATAGAGAACTTATACTGTGAAAACTTACATTTTAAAGAAAATTAAAATCTAAACAAATATAGAAAAAAAAATCCATGTTCAGTGTGATGGTTAAGGTGGATTTTTAACCTGACTTGCCTAGGAATCTACAAGGAGATTAATAAATCACACTGCTGGGTGTATTTGGGTAGGTCATAGAGGCATGGCTTTGCCATATATGTACATCTGTTCCTTCTCTTTCTCTTCGCCTGCTATGCTTTCAGGTCATCATGAACTAAGCATCTTTTTTTTCTTTAATGTATTTATTACAGGGTCTACAGGGGCTCACTCTGTAGATCAGACTCATAGTGATCCTCCTGTTTTCAGCCTCCCAAGCACTGGGATCACAGGCACACGCCACCATGCCCAGTCTCAATCTCCACAGGCTGGCATGGCACTTTGGGGATCAAACCCAGTCCCTGTGTCTAAGCAGGCACTTTAGTTACAATGAGCTATCTAGCCAGCCTGAAATAAGCATCTTTACTTCACAACATCCTTCCACCATGATGTTCCTACCTAGAGTCAGCTGATCGTGGACTGGATCTCTGAAGCCATGAGCCAGATCAATCCTTTTCTCTTTTATGCTGTGTGTCAGAAATTGTCTTAGCAATGGGAAACCTAAGTAAAACATTCATGGATCAGAAGATAATATTTTTAAAGATGTTAATGGTTCAGTAAATTATCTATAGATTCAATGAAGTCCCCATCATAATTCCACACAGTTTCTTTATAGAAACTAACCAGCTGATTCTAAAATCCATATGAGATTGCAAAGTTTTATATTAACAAAAACAATTTGGAAGTACACAGTATAGTGAAAAGGTACTAGCAATATCCTCTTCCACAGGATGGGTAGTGAGTACATGGATATTCATTTTTGTAGGGCTAAAATTTTACTTATATGTTTGGCATACTCTTTAATTGTGTGTGATAAAAATAAATAAAATTATACAGACCCCTAATAAAACAAAATATCTGGTTGTATACTGTATGCCAGAAACTGAGATCAACAACAATGCTGTAAAAGTAATAAAGTGAAATAGTAATTGTGGTGGTAATGATG